ACTTATTGTTCTATTGCTCTGAAGACACACCATGATCAAGGCAACTCTTATAAAATAAACTATTGATTTGAGACTTGCTTATAGTTTCAGAGGGTTTATTAGTTAGGGTTCTCTAGAGTAACAATTTATATAAAACTTCTATAATGAATCTGTCTATATAGAGAAAGGGGATCTATTAGAATGACTTACAGGCTGTGGTTGAGCTAAGATAGCAATGCCTGTATCTGAATGGAAGGTCCAGGAAGCCAGTAGTTGTTCAGTCTACAAGGCTGGTTGTCTCAGTTGGTCTTTAGCACATGCTGAAATCCTGAAGAAGACAGCTGTAGTGCCTTTGAAGGAAAGCTCCTGATAGTTAGAGTGAGAGCAAGCAGGCAGAGACAGAGAGAGAAAGAGGGAGAGAGAGAGACAGAGAGACAGAGACAGAGACAGAGATCTTCCTTTTTCCAGGTCCTTTATATATGCTGCCAGTAGGAGTTGTGGTACAAATTAAAGTTAGACCTTCCTGCTTCAAATTAAAGGTTTATTTTCCACCTCAAATATCCAGATTAAAGGTGTATCTTTATGCTTCTAATGATTACTAATTATGAAAATGTTCCTCACAGTTGTGACCATTCATTTGGGTTTTATCATAGCAAGGAGGGTGGCAGCAGGCAGACAGTGTGGTGCTAAGCAGTAGCTGAGAGCCTTGCATCCTAATGAACAGGACAGGCAAGGGGTTGGGGGCAGAGAGAGAACAATCATATCAGCCTAGTGTGGGCATTTGAAACCACTAAAGGCCAGCTGAGATGATCAACCTTGTAGACTAAACAACTACTGGATTCCTGGACCTTCCATTCAGGGTCAGCCATTGCTGTCTTAGCTTGACCACAGCCTGTAAGTCCTAATAAATCCCATTTCTCTATACAGTGCCATATATTCTCCAACAAAGCCACACCTCTTAATCCTTCTCTGAAATCTCATCAACTGACATGCAAATATGTGTGCCAATGAGGACCAATCTCATTCAAACCATTGCATTCCAGCCATGTATATATTTATAACTATAAAATATTGGAAAATGCATATAGATCAACTCCAGAAGTCACCATAGTCTTTCAGTCCTAAAACTGTTTCAAAAACACAATTTGTCTTCTAAGACTCAAGGCAATTTCTTAACTGTAACTCAGTAAAATAAAAAACAAATTACATACTTCCAGGATTCAATGGTCCGGGATATACATTACCATTCCAAAGTGGAGGGAAGAAAGCATAGTGATAAAATATTGAACAAAATCAAAACCAAAAAGCAACAGGGCAAGGCATTTCCATGACCCATGTCAAAGCACTCTTAGTATCTCCAACTCCTTTCAGTTTTGTTGAGAGCAGCACACTTCTCCCTCTTGGGATGGTTCTACAACCAGTGTGCAGATTTCCTTGACAGGTATCTCACAACTCTGGTATTTCCAATATCTTAGGGTCTCAATATAATCAATCCAGGCTTTACCTTCACAGCATCAGGCAATGGTCTCTCTCTTGCCTCCAGGCGATGACTCCCCTGCCACATGCTTGGCCTCAGTGAGATTTCTTTTAACTGAAGGGAAGATTTTAGAACTCCTCTACTTCTTTTGTATCTTTGACTCTAAAGCCAGAACTATCTGGCTGAAGCTGCCAGTTTCGACTGGAGCTAGCCCTTTCTTTCAATTACATTTGCCTCAGCTTTCTGTTGTTGATGGTTGCATGACTGCTTAAGCTTTCCTTTAATTCAAGTTCACAAGTTGGAAGCTTAGCTGTGTGGGGTCTTGTCCATGCTCTTTGTTCCATTTCGAATGGAACAATTTCTTTAAACTTTCTGTCTTTTTATGCACTGGACTTGATTCCATGATTACATTTTCTGGTGTCCCTTTTCTCTTCAAACTGCATTTTGCATTTCTTTTTGTCCTATATAGTTTTTGTTTGTTTGTTTGTTTTCATTATAGATATATGTAAGAGTGATCACTAAAAGCCACATGTACAGTCAATATTAAGATATCTTGAAATCTCCTCTGCCAACACCACTAATTCAACATCTTCAACTTAGTCTCTGGCAAGTTTTTAGGACAAGGACAGAAAGAGGCCACATTCTTTGCCAAAATATCATAAGAGCAATCTCTTGGCCATTTACTAATATTTTTCCTCTCTAAAACCTCTTGATCAGGGTTCCCACAGTTCATGTTGTCTTCTGTATCACTGCTCATGTTCCTTCTAGTATGGCCAACTAAGGCTACTTATAGTCCAAAGTCCCAAAGTCCACAACAAGTAATATGATCAGGTTTGTCACAGCAATAAGCTACTCTCTGATACAACTTCTGTCCTACCCACTGTTTTATTGCTGGATAGAGACACTGTGACCAAAGTAACTCTTATCAAAGGAAATATTTAATTGGAAGCTTCCTTACAGTTTCAGAGGGTTAATTGATTATTATCATGACAAATAGCATGGCATCTTACAGGCAGGCATAGTGCTGGGCAGTAACTAACAACTTCTTTATATCCTGATCCACAGGCAGCAGACAGAGAGAGTAAAAGAGACAGACACTGGGGCTGTTATGGGTTTCTAAAACACCCCTGGTGACATAATCCTCCACCAAGGCCACATTTCCGAACCCCTCCTCAGCATCTCATCAGCTGGCATGTAAATATAGATTGGAACTGTGGAGCCAATCTCATTAAAACTACCACAGGTACCCAAGAAGAGGGAACAGTACCTAAAAAGACTCAGACAACAAAATATGTACTTGGGGCCAAATGTTCAGACCATTCTCTGGTCCAAAGAATCTTCTCGATGCTCCAGCTGTGTGTTTTTGACATTCTAGTCACTCTAAGAATGGCCATTAATAAACTGTAAGTGCTAGATTTTAATATTAGTACAGTGACCTCCCCTTGCTTGCCAAACACCAATTAAAATTTCTGAGACATTAGATTTTTGGTTTTGTTTTTTGTTTGTTTGTTTGTTTGTTTTTGTTTTTTGGTTTTTGGTTTTAGCTCCACAGCTGGTGGGCCTATTCAATCAATTGAGAGTCACAGGTTACAAAATAAATCTTGATGTAAGTGTGGATTTACACAATGTGTAGACAAGAAGCTGAAAGTGCTGTGCAAGGGCATTGAACAGATGACTGCTGTGTGGACTAACCCTGGGATCACATCCTCCAGCCTTAGACTCAATTGCAAAATCAAGAGAATTATTCACATTACACAGCTGCCTCTTGACATCTTCACACTTTTCTCTGTTCTTTGTTTCAGGCATTTCAAAACATTTAACTGACAATAGGTACATATGTGAGTGAGGCATCAATGCTACTACCCCAAATCCTCAATGAAGTGAAGAAGCAATTTGTAAGAAGTCTCAGTCCCCTGAAAGAACTACAGAGAAGCAACTGTATATTGACTGGTTGGGAATAGGGGTAGGCAAATAGATAAGTTGGTAGATAGGTAGATAGATAGATAGATAGATAGATAGATAGATAGATAGATAGATAATATAATAGTTAAATGAATAAGAGGCAATATGTTAAAACATATAGCCCTTTAAGAGGGAGTTTTAGCATGATAGGAGCCTCAACTGTGAGATTTATGGCAAAGGTCAAGGTACCTTTCTATGTTGTCAACTAGCCATGTATATACTCTTGTAGCCTCTGATAACCTGAAAGCTTAGTGTCCATGAGTCTCTATGAATTTGGAAAGGCCACTCATAAAAAAATGAGGTCTTCAAATCTCCAAGTCTATCCCAAAAAGAGATAGGCCCTTGGACATCAGTAACAGATTAAGCCAATGGCAGGTAACCTCAAAAAGAGTCTCCAATACTTCTGGCGCCTAGTATTTACATACTTAATAAGTTCATCCTCCTTCAGTGAGACTGGATTTAGGTTTCTAGAGAATTGAATAGGGTAGAAATGTCACTTTGGGGGTGAGGTTATATAAAACCTAATCTCCCTTTCCATTTCCTGAAGAAAGCTCACCACTGTGACTTTGAGACAGTACTCTGAAAAATCCCCTGTGGTGAAGCTTCCAACAGCCAAAGGAGGGAGCTTGCTGATTAAGAAGCCTCCTCCTCTCCAGTCCTTCAGAAGAATCCTTGCCACAGCTAATAGTTTGCCTGGCTAAGTTGCATCTACATTCTTAACCCCTTAAAACCAAACCACAATAAAATGTTTCTTGTATTAAACATCTGTATTTTGAAGTAACTTGTTATATGTAATAAGTCATATATATCATTATTCACTCAGAGCTTCTGAATGTTCAACATTGTCTGTGAAGACTTCCAGGATGGACTCAAAGAGCTGTGTGTAATCATGACAAGGCTACTTTAATTAGTAAGATTTATTTCAACCTGGAATAGATATGACAGTAAGAATGAAAGTGTCTAAAGTCTGTTCATGTGCTTTGAATATAAGATAAGGTGATGAAATTAATTGTTGGCAGCACAGAAACAAGGGTTGAGTGGCAATCTTCTCCATCCTAAAGCTTTCTCTCTACACATCACTCACACATCTCTAGATTACACATGGGTAGTCAAGCAAAAGAATCTTCTGGATACTATCTTGGAGTCTTACTACAGACCTACTGCCACACACAAATCTATTTCCAATTAGCTGCTTTTTTTTAAAATCTGTATTGTTTTAGCAGATGCTTAAAATTTATCATGCTTTGAGTTTTTGTGCAATGCAACCTTTCTTGTACATGTTTTCACTTTTCTGATGACACAATTAAATTATTCTTTCACATATCTGTAAAAAATCCATGGTAAACAATGACCTGGCCAGTCTTACTCTGGTATAGAAACTAATTTGAAGCCCTGAAAGTGGCCATGAAGACTATTTCCTAAGTAATGCATGAAAGTCTTCGATAGATTAACTCACTAAAATATTGGGTAAGTATGTGGTAAAAAAATGGATATGTAGGTACATAACGCAACAATATTTTAGAATTCTAAATATGTAATATTTTATATATCAAACTTCAGCCATTTTTTTTTGTTTGTACAGGAGAAGAAAACCTTCTGGCAATTTTACGACGAAGATGGTGGAAGTATATGATCCTTGGACTCATAGACTTAGAAGCTAATTACCTGGTAGTCAAGGCTTACCAGTACACAACTCTGACCAGTGTCCAGGTAATAAAGGTTCTTCTCAACTTTCTAGATGTAGCCCACTTCAAGTTTCTTGGAAATCTGTATACTACATGATGGGTTTACTTTTCTTTATTAATTTTAATTTTTTTTAGTTGAAAATAGATTCTTCTCTCATATAATACATCTCACAATGCAATTTCCCCTCCCTCCACCCATCCTAGCTCTTCCTCATCTCCTCTCTCTTTCAGATCCACTCCTCCTCTTCAAAAACTAGCAAGTGACAACAGCCAAATAGGACAAAATGACATATAATAAGTCAAGGCCTTTATCTATTCAATAAGAAAAATGCTCATATCAAAATTGGACAAGGCAACTCAATAGAAGGAAGAAAGTCTTAAGAACAGGCCAAAAGATTCAGAGACATACTTGCTTTTACTGTTAGGAATCCCACAAAAATACCAAGCAAACAGCCTTAACATGCACTGGGAGAACCTTGTGCAGACTTATGTTAGCTCTTTGCTTGTCTTTTCTGACCCACGGAACCCATGCAAGCCCTGCTTGTTTGATGCAGTGGGCCAGTTCTTCTGGTATGATTGACCCCTCTGATTTCTGTGGTCTTTCCTCCCCCTCTTCCTTGGGGTTCCCTGGATTCTAAGAGAAGGGAACCAACGGAAACCTCCAACTTGGACTCCCTTTGCATAATATCTGCTCCAAGAGGACACCTCTCTGATGATGACTAGACACAGCACAGATGTACAAGTACAGCAGAATATCTTTATGAATTATTTCATCAATTTTCTTCCGTTATGTTTGGTTGTACCCTAGATCTGTGGGCTATCAAGTGTTCAGTTACTGGACATCTAGCCAGTAGAGGGCATGAGCTCTCTTTTTTGGAGTGGGGCTCAAGTTAAACCAGACATTGATCACTTCCACAAGTTCTCCACCACAAATGCCTCAGCACATCTTGCAGGCAGAACAGAGTATAGGTGGAAGGTTTTTGTGGCTGTTTTGGTGTCCAGGTTTCTCTTTCTGTAGCCTGCAGGCTACCTTTGCACCATGGGGTGAAGGCTCCAAGCCAGCACCAGCTCGAACTCTCTACTTTCAGTGTGCTTTATGGATGTTGTCCTTGACAATGGAGTCTGGCTGTCAGTCTGCAGAGAGCAACCTGTTGCCCTAGCATCAGCCTGGGTTATTTAGGGATCTCCATGGGACCTCCTTAGCCCAAACCTCAACAGTCCCTTGACTGGAAACCTTGACTAGCTACAAATGGCCAGTTCAGACTCTGTATCCCCCATTAGTCAGAGTTCTCATGAGAATCACCCTCTTGGATTTCAGGAAGTTTCCACCCCACTAGATTTATACACCCTCCATCCAAATGCCCCCAATTCCAGTCATCTCTCCCCATACTCTCTCCATCTGTTCATCCCCCACACCTGTTCCTTTCTGTCCACCTTCAAAATCTATTCTACTTCCCCATCCACAGGAGATTTATGTGTCCCTGTAGAGCTTTCCTCTTTACCTAACTTCTCTGTGTATATGGATTGTAGCTTGATTAGCATTTACTTAACAGCTAGTATCTACTTATAAGTGAGTACATACAATATTTGCCTTTCTGGATCTGGATTACCTCACTCAAGATGATTTTTTTTCTAGTTCTATTATTTGCCTACAAATTTCGTTATGCCTTTTTTTAAAAAAACAGCTTTATTGTGTAAAGTGCCACATTTTCTTTATCAATTCTTTTATTGAGGGACAGCTAAGTTGTTTTTAGTTTCTGGCTACTATGAATAAAGACACATTGAACATAGCTGAGCAGTGTCCTTGTGGAAGGATGCAGTATCCTTTGGGTATATGCCTTAGTAGTATAGCTGAGTCTTAAGATAGATCATTTAAAAAATTAAACTCCATTTATCTGTCATTAATTTTTCCTAAGTTGGGTATAATTGGACAGCTTTTTTCTTTGTTCTAAATATACCAAAAATAATCATTTACAATGCAAAAAAATAATTCATGGATTTGAATGCTGGCAACTAATCTTGTGTCAGCAGGAGAATTATTAATAAGTATAAAAATAAATCTGATTTCATCCCAACTTAACTTTTTTGGAATGTTAATAGACTTTGATTAAATAAGCAAGCTGCTTAATAATCTTTTCTTTTAGCTTTTTAAAATGCAGTGACTGTTAAATCTGAAGGGATATGGTTTTTCCATAAATGGATAAAAATGAAATTCTCAGAATATGTTATGTATGGCGATAGCTACCTTGTTTATGTCTCTTTCTCTCCCATCTCCTCACACATATCTGTACATGTATACATATACACAAACACAAATACCAGCTTAATTTAGTTTTTATAATTGCTGGATATTCATTTTCCTTGCAACTCCAATCAGTTTGATTGCATTTGTTTCATCTTCATTTTTCTTTGTGTAGAAATATTATTGATTTCACAGCTGTCATAAAATTCCAAGACTAAAGCAAAACATTATTCACCAATGAGCATGAGCTGAGATTTGATGCCGGTCATCCTTTTAGTTTGTCTTGGAGTGACAATGGCATAAGTGAATACACAAATATGCAAATACACAAAATACCTGAGTCAATATGTACACTGCAGACTGGGATGAGAAGTGACCTAGACCTTGTTTCCTCTTTCTATTTAGTCACATTCCTAATTTTCATATGAATTTCAAAGATGGTTTCTTGGTCTACTTTTGTTGCTATGATAAAATAATGGAAAATTGATAGTTCATAACGAGTATAGAATGATTGGATCACTGAGAAATTCAGTATCAATGAGTGAAAACAAGGACAAGAGTAAGAGATAGATCAACTCCCCACTGAATAATGTCTTTGATCTCACCAGTGATGGTAGAGCAGCAGTGGCCAAATTACCTTAACGACCCTTGGTCTCTACGTACTCTTGCAATAGCAATTAAACATTTACATCAGTTTTGGATGATACAAATGTGCAAACTCTAGTAGATAGCTTAAAATAAAAGCATGTCCACATGCAGTTTGTATTTATTGTTCATACGTGTGTGTGTGTGAACACATGCAGATCCATATGCCGAATGTAGAAGTCTGATGACCACCTTGGGTATCTTTCTTCAGGCACCATCTACTTTTATTTTGACATGAACTTGCTCAGGCTATGCTTACTGACCAGCAAGCCCAAGGGATATACCTGTCTCTGCATTTCCAGCACTGGAATTACAAACTCATGCCAACTCTTTTCAACACTGTCTTTTACTCAGATTCTGGGGATCAACTTCAGATTGTCCTGGTTGTAAAACAAGCATTAATACTGCCGGAAGTATCTGACCCCTAGGCCCAGCCCATTTCCATATACATCTTGCATTCTGAGAGCATTTGTGAGGGGAATTCCAGTAAAGATACACACTGAAACAAGAAATGAACCTGAACAGGCCCTCTTAACTTAGCCTTTAAAATCCTGTGGCTTTTGGGTTGACACTGGAAGCTAATGTCCAGATGGAGAAGACTCAGAGTTCCTGCATGCATTCCCTAGCACTGTCCTTTATAAAATTATCTATATGGAATCTTTGCTTATTTGGGACCCTCTTTCTATCCAGGTATAAGAGCTTCTGCATCTGAAAATTGAATTTCCTGTTTCCATATTTTTCTTCTTACCATTTCTTCTACAGAAGAATAATTTCCAAGATGTCCCATGCACGATACATACTACTTTTGATTAAGATATATTTCAACATGCTCACATCCTATATTCTCAGTAAGATTATAGGCATCTTTAAAATGGGAACTGTGGCTTGTTAGAATAATTTATAAATTATACATAAATTAGCCTTTAGAAGTATATGCATCTAATATGGTTATAAGATTTCCCATTTACATTTGCTTTGATATTCTTTTAAATATCAGCAAACTAAGAAAACACACAAGAGAGTTGCAAACTCTAACTGGAGAGTAATTAAGCACTTGTCTTTCCTTCAACAGTGATCATTATGGCTTTAAAATGGAAAAACCTTTAGATACATCCTAGTTACACTAACAATGTACATAGTGAATATAAATAAAATAGGTTTTTCGAAATGGGTACTTTATTATAAATTCCATTTTAAAAATCTTTTATCCGTTCTCAATGATAACATTTTTTTTAAAAATCATGGGAACAAAAATCAGCAATATTCTCTGCAAATGTAACAATTAGGTATTCAGTATATGTTGCCACTGTATAAACAGTAGTTTTATGAGCCCTGCTTTTCATTAGCTTCTTCAGTTAGAAGCAAAGTCTTTTTTTCCCAGTCTTTAACAGTTAGAAATAAGTTATAAGAATAGGATGTCTTCCAGTGCAGATGTCCCACATTAAAAAAAAAAACTTCTTTAAACACACCTTACAGACACAGAGGGGGTAGGAAGAGAGAGAGGGAGAAAGATAGAGAGAGAGGGAGAGAGAGAGAGAGAGAGAGAGAGAGAGAACAGTTTTTAAATATCTCTGGCCAAACATTTTCTACTATTTGGACTATGTTTCTCCCTTCATTCCTTCATCTTCTAGCTATTGATATCTTTCTCATTTTAAAATACCTTCTACATTCAGGATGCTTTCTAATAATATATTAATTGAAAGTGCAACAAAAAACTATCTGTAATGGTAAAGAACTATCTTGGGTCTTATATAGAGCAATTAGAGAAAGGACAGTCTTTAGTACAGTCTGTCAAATGTCTTAATCATGGCATCTGTCAATCTCTCCACTTTCTGACCTTTCTGGATTATCCTATTCCAGGCCCTTGTTGTGGCCATAAGGTAGATCTCTGCTGCACAAATTAGAGCCACATGCTTCTTAACTCATGACCAGTGATAGACAAATAAATAGATAGATTAAACAAACAAATGGATAAAGCATGGACCCATAACCAATGAGCAAAAGCCTTGAAGACTACTCTGATTGGACCATGCAAGTACCCAAGGAAATATTGGAATATTGAGAGCAAATTGGCTTAGATCTGGATAGCTTGAACTAACAGAGAATGAGATTTCTTTCATAGGTTTATTATAGATAGA